CACATTCTATTAAGGCCAACCAATCCAAATCAAAAACATATATCTTTAACAGATATATTTTTCTACAGTTAATTTATTAATATATTATGAACATGCCACCCTCAACGTGCCTTTCGGAAAATGAATAAATATCAATTCTCCGAAGAAGCTCAAAATTTTGCGATTGGTTCAACTCCAAATGATTATCTCATAATTCAATACCTTGCCGAAACACAGAGAAAGCACTTTCTTTTATCTTATTTTTTTATTCCAATGTCTATTAGACAGTGAAATAAGGAAAGGCATCATTGAAAAAACCATATAACATATAATTATGTATGCACTTGTTTCAATTGATATAGACTTTATTCAATAAAAATAAAACTGATAAAATTATTAATATAATCACGATACCTAAGTTAATACTAGTAGTACGATTTATTATGTTATATTAATAGAAATTTTTGTTAACATAAATAAATTAATAAGTAAATAATTATTTTTCATTTTTTTAATTGATTATTATACTCTTCATTTGTTAAAAAAAATGAAATAATTACTAGTATTTTTTAAATAATCACCAATAACCATCTATTCAATATATCTTTTTTTAAATATTTTATTTATAATTTTTTAAAATTAAAAGATATAAAGTGTCTCTTTTTTCTACTAATATATATAATGTTAATATAATCTACAATATATGTCCAAAATAAATGACCCATAGTATATAATAATAATAAAGTGAGTACACTTTAGAAAATAAAATACTATAATAATTATTAATTAAAAAATAATGGTTCATATTATAATTAGTTTTATATTTTATTTTATAAGAATTTAATTTTATTATAAATTTTAATAATTTATTTTATAATTAATAATTGTGAGTATATTTTATCTTTTAAAGTACAATCCATCATTTTTAGAAGAGTTAATTTCTATATTTATATTTATACTAGTATTTTAATTTGTATAAAATAATGGAACAGGGGCTAAAGGTGACAAAACTGGTTCTTTCAAAGATGACTTTGCCATCAACCGTCCAGAACTTGAAATTGGCTGAAATGGAAATAAGCAACAAAATTAAAAAGATGTTAAGAA